TGTACAGGGACCCATGAGACACTCTGGACCTGGCAGCATGGATCGTTAGCAGCTAGAGGGGTGGCAGCAGCAAATGGGGGGTATTATCTGTAACCAGCTGGCCCATGAGGCCCATGACATGTGGAACCAACTGGTTGCAGTGTGAGGAGACCAGAAAGTGGCACATGGCGAGAGTGTGGCGATGGAGACAGCAGCAGCAATGGGAGGCCGTACAGGGACCCATGACAGATTACGGGACCTGGCAGCAGCATGAGGAGGCGGTACAGGGGCCCATGACAGATTACGGGCCTGGCAGCAGCAATGGGAGGCCCGTAATCTGCCAGCACCCCTATGACAAAATGGAACCCACCAGCATGTGTGTGAGGAGACCTGAAAGTGGCACATGGCAGAGTGTGGCGATGGAGACATGGGCCCCCTGGCCACGCTTGACTTTCTGGCCACATAGTCGACATACGGCTACGTTTTTACTTCCTCGGGCGGAGGTGACCTTGACGAAAAATTGCCCACAACACCGCCGAGTAGGAAACTTTTGCCCCCGCATACTCCTCACTGGCTGACTGCTACTTCTAGTTCCTCCGTGCACAACCGGCACCACTACTGGCCGTGGTGGAGTAGGCTGCAGTGGAGCTGGTGCTACTACTCCGTGGCCGTTTGCCTCCACTGACACTGCTGCGACCCTGCTTGCCTCCTGGGCAACCCACCGACTGTTTTTGCTCGCTGCCAAGCTGGCACCCTCTTCTCCTGATGATGCGGAAGCAATAGCCTGATGACGACGAGGCTGCCAAGTGCGATCAGCCTCATCATCATCAATTAGGGTCTCCGCCTCACTACTAGGCCCCTCGGCTGCGTGTGGGTCAGGAGACAGACCTGTCTCTAGACCGGCTACCGAGCCACTCTCCTCGCCAGTACTTCTTCGCCTGGCTGCTGAAGAGGCGGATGTCTCCCCCCTTTCCTGACCGCCCCCTGTTAGCTCTTGTTAGCTCTTCCTCACTGTACAGTGGGGCTGAGCCCACAGCATGCGATACTTCGCTTGGTGATGATGAGGGAACACCAAAGGACAAGGGCAGGTAGAGGACACGTGATTTCAGTGGGCTTGCTCCCGGGCCATGCCAACTAACGTTTTGTGTCTGACGTACCCACCGACCGTTGGCTGTAGGTGTCAGAGGTGACCTGGGAAGAGGAAGACGACCGAGCCAACCAATCGATGACGGCAGGGTTGTCGGTGGAGACACGACCGCTGTGATGACACCGGGAGAGTACTGGCCTCTGGCTGCGACTAGTGCTGCCTCGACCCCCTTCCTCTCTGCTGCCACGTCTGCTCGCTCCTGAGTAAAACATTGCCTCTCCTCTGCCACTCCTCTGCTGTTTGTCTGACATACTCTTTAATTCAACGATTCTGTGTCCCTGAGTAACGATTCTGTGTCCCTCAGTAACAATTCTGTGTCCCTCAGTAACAATTCTGTGTCTGTCCCTGAGTAACAATTCTGTGTCCCTGAGTAACAGTTCTGTGTCCCTGAGTAACAATTCTGTGTCCCTGAGTAACAGTTCTGTGTCCCTGAGTAACAATTCTGTGTCCCTGAGTAACAATTCTGTGTCCCTCAGTAACAATTCTGTGTCCCTCAGTAACAATTCTGTGTCCCTCAGTAACAATTCTGTGTCTGTCCCTGAGTAACAATTCTGTGTCCCTCAGTAACAATTTCTGTGTCCCTCAGTAACAATTCTGTGTCCCTCAGTAACAATTCTGTGTCTGTCCCTCAGTAACAATCTGTTGTCCCCTGAGTAACAATTCTGTGTCCCCTGAGTAACAATTCTGTGTCCCTGAGTAACAGTTTCTGTGTCCCTGAGTAACAATCTCTGTGTCCCTGAGTAACAATTCTGTGTCCCTCAGTAACAATTCTGTGTCCCTGAGTAACAATTCTGTGTCCCTGAGTAACAGTTCTGTGTCCCTGAGTAAACAATTCTGTGTCCCTGAGTAACAATTCTGTGTCCCTCAGTAACAATTCTGTGTCCCTCAGTAACAATTCTGTGTCCCTCAGTAACAATTCTGTGTCTGTCCCTGAGTAACAATTCTGTGTTCCTGAGTAACAGTTCTGTGTCCCTGAGTAACAATTCTGTGTCCCCTGAGTAACAGTTCTGTGTCCCTGAGTAACAATTCTGTGTCCCTCAGTAACAATTCTGTGTCCCTCAGTAACAGTTTCTGTGTCCCTCAGTAACAATTCTGTGTCCCTCAGTAAGAATTCTGTGTCTGTCCCTGAGTAACAATTCTGTGTCCCTGAGTAACAGTTCTGTGTCCCTGAGTAACAATTCTGTGTCCCTCAGTAACAATTCTGTGTCTGTCCCTGAGTAACAATTCTGTGTCCCTGAGTAACAGTTCTGTGTCCCTGAGTAACAGTTCTGTGTCCCTCAGTAACAGTTCTGTGTCCCTCAGTAACAATTCTGTGTCTGTCCCTGAGTAACAATTCTGTGTCCCTCAGTAACAATTCTGTGTCCCTCAGTAACAATTCTGTGTCCTCAGTAACAATTCTGTGTCCCTGAGTAACAGTTCTGTGTCCCTGAGTAACAGTTCTTGTGTCCCTGAGTAACAGTTCTGTGTCCCTCAGTAACAATTCTGTGTCCCTCAGTAACAATTCTGTGTCCCTCAGTAACAATTCTGTGTCCCTCAGTAACAATTCTGTGTCTGTCCCTGAGTAACAATTCTGTGTCCCTCAGTAACAATTCTGTGTCTGTCCCTGAGTAACAATTCTGTGTCCCTGAGTAACAGTTTCTGTGTCCCTGAGTAACAATTCTGTGTCCCTCAGTAACAATTCTGTGTCTGTCCATGAGTAACAATTCTGTGTCCCTGAGTAACAGTTCTGTGTCCCTGAGTAACAGTTTCTGTGTCCCTCAGTAACAATTCTGTGTCTGTCCCTGAGTAACAATTCTGTGTCCCTCAGTAACAATTCTGTGTCCCTCAGTAACAATTCTGTGTCTGTCCCTGAGTAACAGTTCTGTGTCCCTGAGTAACAGTTCTGTGTCCCTGAGTAACAGTTCTGTGTCCCTCAGTAACAATTCTGTGTCCCTCAGTAACAATTCTGTGTCCCTCAGTAACAATTCTGTGTCTGTCCCTGAGTAACAATTCTGTGTCCCTGAGTAACAGTTCTGTGTCCCTGAGTAACAATTCTGTGTCCCTGAGTAACAATTCTGTGTCCCTAAGTAACGATTCTGTGTCCCTAAAGTATCTGTGGCCCTAACTCTGTCGTTAATACAGAGAGGTCTGTCTCTCTTGAATGACCGGAGGCAAATGGAGAATTGTAAGATGGCCGCAATTTATAGCTCCACCATTACACAGTGCTGGCTGGCTGGCTGCTGATTGGCTAATGCGATCACATGTCATGAATGAATGCATTATGGGTCAGCGCGCCTTGTCTGCGCTCCTTCCCAGAGATCCCCGCTCCGTCGCCACACATGTCGCCGCCATTTTTGGAAAAATTTCGAAGTCTGCTAATTTTTGGATTCGGCGCGAATCGAATTTTTTCTAATATTCGAAACGAATTCCACTTCGCCAAGTTCGATTCGCTCATCTGTAGTCATAAACTGTGAATGACCAGAGAATAGCTGTGATCCTCTGAATCTCAGCTATTCTGTGTGTCATAAACGGACACCTTAGTTCCTAGAGTGCCATTCCCTGCAGGATTCTCTTGTGAGCCCAGGCCGGCTTGAAGACACACACAGCCAAGAGGTGTATTCTTGAAAGTACAAAAGAGGTTGTAAAGGGTGTTCAAGGATGACCCACCAGTATTTATATATATCACAACCAAGTTAAAAGTACCATAGTTTATTCTAAAAGTATCACAAAACCATCCAAACATAAATTACATACAATAACACTTTATTACAAAAAAAGTTCCATAAAACTTCAATGGATACTGTCATAGGCTATACAGTTACACAGTTTGCAGCCAATGCCGCTTCTTCAGGACTTTATGTTCACATATGACAGATGCCTTGTATGTTTTTTATAAAAACACAGATCGCTCATAGGAAGGTAGTCACATCCTCCCACACTGTGGGGAGGCAAATACGAGACACCAAATGGGAGGCATGGCCTGGCAAACCTCAAGAACCAACACAGTCCTTCACAGCAAGAGACGAAGTATACTAAAAATAGGGGACATCGCCACACTGGTTTTTAACATTAAGCTGACTATTTCCTAATCCCATATAAACTCAAAATATCTGTTGGATGAGATATAGTATGTCACGCTGATAGATATGATGATAGAGACCGCAGAGGTAACTTTTGAAAAAGGATACTCCAATCTCAGCTAGAAATCCGAGTCATGGTCTGCCACCATAAGCCAGTTTATCTCTTCCTCTCAATTCCACCAAGTCAAGAGGTGTATCCTTGACACCTCGGGCTCAAGAGTTATAGGTTGAATGTTGCTGGGCACCACTTAGCTTGGAAGAGGACCAGCACTGGACTATGGAAGAGAACGTGTAGAGTAGCACTGGAAAATAGAGAACATGACTGTGTGGCAAAGTCTTTTGATATACAGTAGGTAGAGGACCCCATTCAAAAAGAACAAAAATGTGTTTTACTCTTCATATTCTACCAAAAACAAAACTTTTAGTGGACTGACCCTTTAAAAAATATCTGCCTATCTGACTTTGATGTTATGAAAACAGGACAGGTATGTGTCATAATGAGTGTGTTAGCTGGGTGTGGGATAGATACATATAGCTAGTCTGGCTGAAAAAAGACATTTTATACAGTTCAACCATTAAAAAAAAAAGTTATAATCCTATACCCACAGTTGATCCAGAGGAAGGAAAAAAAACCCAGCAAAGCATGATCCAATTTGCTCCTGCAGGGGAAAAAAAAAAAAATTCATTCCCGATCCCCCGAGAGGCAATCGGATATTCCCTGGATCAACTTTACCTATAAATGTTAGTATCCAGTTATATTCTGTGTACATGTACTAATATGTGTGTGTGTACTTTTATGTGTTTTATGGTTACAGAAATCTTTTCCTCACATACAAGAATGCATGCAGGAAATACCAGGAGCAGCAGCACAGGCTGGAATCTCAGGTTGCACTGATATCACAGCATCAATGTCAACAGATACAGAATATGATGGAAAACATCCAGAGTCTACAGAAAGAAGAAAGCAGAGAGGGATACAGGAGAAACATCATTATAATAGCAGATCTCACCAGGCGGTGGGGTTTTATATGGTTCTTGAGGGGTCCCTGTGAACACGGTTTGGCAAGTTTTATGTGCAGTGAACTGATGCATTTAATAGAAGTGATGGATGAGCAAGGGAAGTCAGAACACATTTACACTTTTTTTTGGACATTTATGGGTAAATCAGTTCGCAAAACTGAAGAGAGGGGTAAGGTGAGAGCGTAACGTATATTTATGAATGAAATGACAAGATTCTGCTCATGTACTACACACATTCATACCTGTATCTTTACAGGCTCCCATTTTGGGGAAAGTGTAGTCTAACGAAAACTCTAGACATATAGCAGGTGGTATGTGGATTTCAATAGTACAGCCTGTTATATAGGGCTGTAACTATGTGTGATATCTTCTTAATCTACAGTACACCTAAATCACAATTACTCTTGTGCTACTGAGTAGTTTTCATAGAAATCATATAGATATGGAATCTGCATAATGCAGCAGGATGATGATCCAAGGAGTGAATGGTTATGTGACAGATAATATTACTGGGCTGCAGCCAGTGGAGCGCTATGGACATGGCATGGCTGTCATAAGGCAATACGTCTACTTTATATGTACAGCTTTTTATGTATATTTATTTTATTCAAATGTATTAGCCAAATATATTGCTATCTGCATAAATCTTTGTGTTCCTAGGCAGCTCTGGGCCCTCTGTGTTGTTGGGCCCCAGTGCAGTTGCATGCTTTGCTATGGCCATAATTACTCCCTTGCAGGTGTACATTTTCTCTCTAATAAACCGGATGCTAATATAACAGGAACATCCTGTAGGAAAAGCATCATCAGTTTCAAGAGCCTAGGGCAGCATTCTCTAATAATGTAGCCCATATTCACATTTGGTTGGCTCCTTTTTACATTTAAAAAGTATGAAATATGTTAATAAATAAATTGTCCATACTCAAAACATTGGTAGCATTTTGCCCCCTCACCATTTAATGCATCAGTCTATACAATTGCAGCTGGTATGTGTTTTAATTTTGTCATATTGAAATTTGTATATTTGTGTAACTTTTTTACTATGTGCTTTGTACCAATTATGTATCATGCAATATGATAATATAAAATCTATTAAAAACATTTGGGTGTGGTGGTCCAAGAAGGACAATGACATGCTGCAAGCTGTGGTGAATGGTGAGTGTGGCCATAATGTGCTGACAGAATGAGGACCTTAAAGCAGTGTAGTTTCACCCCTTTCATCACATTTTTTTTGTTTTTCAGAACTGTGCTAATTTAACTGGCAATTGTGCAGTCATGCAACACTGTATGAAAAACAAAATTTATATAATTATTTCGCACAAATAGAGCTTTCTTTTGGTGGTATTTGATCACCACTGGATTTTTTGTTTTATTATATAAATGAAAAAAGACAGAAACATTTGGAAAAAAACAATATTTTCTACTTTAATTTTCTACTGTTATAAAGTATATCCAATAAAAAAATTTTAAAAAATCTAATTTTTTCATGAATTTATCCCAAAATGTATTCTGCTACATGTCCTTAAAAAATCCTAATAAGTGTATATTAATTGGTTTGTGAAAATGTTATAGCATCTACAAACTAAGGTGTATATATACTGGAATTTACGCAGCTATGATGCTATACTAGTAATGGCGGTGATCAGTGACTTATAGTGGGACAGATAGTGCGGCAGGTAATCTGGTGCTAGCTGACACTGGCTAAGAGGAACACTGACTGACACTGACATCAATTGTGCCACTAACAGTGATCAGTGCTAATACTGTACACTGTCACTGTAATAATGACACTGGCTGGGAGGGGTTAACATCTAGGGGCAATCAAAGGGTTAACTGTATGTCTAACAATTGTGTGCAATGTGTGCTGCTTTTACTGCACTATCTGGCTGTTTTTTCTCCCTGCCTAGCAGGTAGAAGTAAGAGCCATATTGCTGTTCCCTGTACACAGAGTTGTGTGTTTTTGTAAAACATAGAACTCTGTGTATGATTGGACATAGTTCAGAGTTCATAATCATTGTCTGAAATCAGCTGTCAAACTCATGCTGTGTCCAATCACAGCATGAGTTGGCAGGGGGCCAGCAAGAAGGCCTATCACGTACATGTACGTGATCGTGCCTGCACCTGCCGTCAGCTTGCAGTATATTTACTGTGAGTGGTCAGTAGGTAGTTAATATAATCGAAGCTAACTCACTGTATGCACAACACACATTTGCCACAATCCTTATATCAACAAAATACGATGAATTACTGTTCCACCAATGAGAGTTTCACAGACACATCATTTTTGAAAACTGGAACTCTTCCATTATTTATTCTTTTCTATGCACATAATATAGATATGGAGCTAATACTTTGTCTGAGCTTACCTTAAAAAATGATTTAATTAAAATAGTATCTACTTAGTAACCAGCAACAATATAAACACTTTGGTCAGGAGTATGTAAATAGAATATAGAATGAATACTGCAGGGGTTAGGAATATGTCACATACAGGCCAGTATGCACAGTGGCCATAAGTATGTAACATACAACAGTAAATGGTGTGTGCCATACAGCACTACATACAAAGCATCAAATATTCATTGCACATTACATAAATCTTATTACTGCATTCTGTATGCAATGCAGTATATTGCATACGCCTGACCCCTTCACACTGTATGCTGGGCTATACACTATATAATCATGACCACTGAACTCTTTAAGCTGGACTGTACAATACATACCCATGACCACTGCACTCAGTATGAAATACCATACGTTTACATACTCGCTCACTATTTCTCCACTCTTGCACAGCTCGCCTCTGCACTCCTCCACAGCTTGTTCCTGCAGTCCTCATCCATAGAATACTTGCAACCATGAATTCCTTGTCTACAGTGTACCTACGCTTCTTTCCCACAGGTCACCTGAACCCCTCATCCACAGCTCACCCATACCCATTGAAATACTATTCCATGCACAGCTCAGTGCTGGCTGCTGTAATGAATAGGTCAGCTACCCTGCAGTAGGCATGAAACCTTTGGTCCCCAGTCACATTGGGTGTGATTTGGCATGCGATTTGCATGCCAGGCGACTTGCAAATCATATGCCAAGTCGCAGCTTATTGTCCGCTATTGGTCCGAGACGCACCAATGCATGTACTACTTTTGTTGCGATTTGCATTGACATCTGTGTCAGATGTCTTGCAAATCGCAAGGAAATCGGCAGGTCACCCGATTTTGAAATCGTGCAACTTCACTGTAAGTCGCACGATTTCAAAATCGGCTTTGATGTGACCGGGGTGTTAAATTTTATGTCCCTGCTGCTGCCTGTACACAACTGTTCTGCTGGCAACAACAGAGACGTAGCAAACATGACAAACAGCAGCCACAGCACCAAGGGCATCAGATAAGACATGCAGAACAAGTATCCCAGATACCAAGTACTATTTTAATTTGTTTTTTTTTGTGCCCCTGTAATATCTAATATAGCCATGAATTCGCAAATACTTAACATTTGTTTGCTGGATCTATTGTGTTATTTAGTAAGAAAGAGCCAGCTAAAGTTTCAAATACAATAAAAATTACAAACTGCACTTTGTACATTTTCATTACATTTGCACTAATGTATTAAGTACACATTCAATTCAGTGGTCTTCTGCCAAAAGAAGAATTATTGCACTGCTGTAAGTAGTGAAGCAATGTAGAGGATGAACTTTCTTTTTTTAGTGTCTATCAATCATATTGACATGAATAACACATAATATGTTTCACACAGTATTATACAATTTTCACAATTTTACTTTTTGAGTCACCGACCTGGAACCGGTATGCAGTTCAGGAAAGTTAAAGTCATACGTCATTATCTGCATGCTTATTCCAGGTCTATGACTCACAGTATTGAAGTAAGAAACTCAGAATACCAACCTGAAACTAGTCAGAAAGGCAGATTGTATTTTTACCTTAGCAAAGCTTTCCTGTAAAACAAAGGTTTAGAAGAATCCCAGATTGCAGCCCTTTAGTAATGTATATTAGGCTGCAATGTGTACTTAATTCATAAGGGGGAGCTCTAGCACTACTCTACCCTATATCCCCCTCAGTGGTGTAAGAAAATATTTTAGAGCTAATATATGGCACTGAAGGTTACATATATCATAATAAGATAGAACTCCGAGTAGACATAAAAAACACCAAGTAAGTATATTGTAAAGTGCTGAGCAAACTGTTGGTGCTATATAAATCCTGTATAATAAGTATGAGATTGTATACACCATAACCACCCACTATACCACAATTATGTACCCAAATGATAAATAAAAATGCAGAGTTTTTGAGAGACTGTGACCTTGTTGGGTTTAAATAACTTAGTCCTAAATTTAACTTCAGATTTTAATAAAAACCTAAGCAACGTTTAACTATTAAATGTCCAACACACTTAAACTGTCCATACACAAGAAGATTTTTGATAAAACTTATAATTAACATTCTTAGTACATTCAATGATTTAACAAATGGCATTTTAAAGCACTTCAAAGGTTTTTTTTAAACCACTTCCAGCCCACAGGCCATATACACGGCCTCATGGGGAAGCAATTATACCAGGATCATGGCTGCAGCAGCCTACAGAGGAGAGGGAAATACATTTGTTCCTCCCTCTCCTCTGTGATGAATGAAGCTGGAAGCAATGAAGATTTTGTTATTTCTGGTTTCAGTTTGGTGTTTCCTTGTCTAGGTGCCTTGGAGGGAACAGGAAGAATCAGGTCTATAAGGCAATGTAATGTACTAACTGAGGTGCTGAGCTCTGAGATGCACTAACTTGGAGGGGATGGGCCTTGAGATTCAGTGACTAGGGGGCTTGAGCACTGATATGTGCTGACTGGGGGGCTGGGCTCCTGAAACATGCTACTAACCCCTCCATTACATATTACTGACCTCTGCACTCTGTTACATACTTACCCTGACCCCTGTCAGAGGAGAATGGCCATCCCTATATGACTA